GTAGCATCGAGAGGGAAATAACCGTCTGTTCCACCTCCCACGAGTTTGGCGAGACCTTTCTCAGTGAGGAAGGGAGCGATGAATTCTTGAGCAGCGTGTGTTGGGATTCTGAGAGGCTGCGGAGATTGCCTGCCGTCCTGATCCTGTCTGGATCTATGTTCATAACGGCAGTCAAACTCTCGAGAACATCGACCCGTCTCCCAAAAGAAACGACACACCCCTCTAGGAGGTAAACTTGACGGAGAAGTCGGGCGTTGAAGAGGAGAGGTCGGGCGTTGAGGACTTTGAGCATCGCGGCGTGAAGGAGATCTATCGGAAGATACGCTGGGTGACGATGATCTTCCGTCCCCTCCTTGACGCCCCGTGTGCAAGAAAGTACAGGATGAGCCACGACGGCAGCCGCCTGGCGAGTTGTAAAATGTACAAGGACGGCGAGGCATGAGGAAGCTATAGTGGCAAGTCATATTCTAGCTGTGTGGCTTTTAAGGAGAAATGAGACGCTGGTCATGGTGAGGTGACTGGGGATCTACAGATGCGATAAGGGTTACTGAGAAGTTGAGCTCTTCCAACACGAGGCTTCACAAGTATGTGATCAACTAGGTGAGCAGCTGCTCGCAGCCTTTGAAGACAATGCGTTGTGGAGATCCAAATCTGATCCTGATCCTCAGAAGGTGATCATTGCTAGAGCACTGGCATGAGCGTCTGGCGGCTTTCAATTCATTATTGGGATAATGCAAGGGGGCGATGGTACTTCGAGAAATTAGATTCGAGATTCGAGACTGAGGAGACCTGCAATTCAAGTTCAACGCCCTCAGAACCGCGGAGTTGTAAATTTTATAAAGAAACGTTCAACGTCGGACAATCACCTGACACCAATATGCTACGAGCACCAACTTCACTGCTGAGTAGGGCCCTCGCTCGCAGCTACGCTACAGCTCCCTCGCCACATGCTCTGGTCTTTTTGGAGCATCGCCAGGGTGATCTTGAATCTGCCTCACTTTCTGCCTTGACGGCAGCATCTCAATTGGGTGGTCAAGTCACTGGCCTCGTTGTAGGCAGCCCGGACGAGGTGTCATTTGTTATAGATAAGGCCAAGAAGTATTCCTTTGGACTCTCTCAAATGGAATATCGCTGATCATTATCTTCCGGTTCTAGATTAAAGGGTTTGAGCACCTTACTTCATTCTTCATCCCCACAGTATTCCACCCTGTTACCTGAGGCAGTGTCCCCGCTCTTCGAGAAGCTCTTATCACAGAACTCTCCTTTCACGCACGTCGTATCTGCCCATTCTAGTTCTGCCAAATCTATTATGCCTCGAGTTGCAGCAAGACTTGATGTACCGGCCGTATCTGACGTCACCTCCCTGGAACATGACGCCGCATCGGGCAGCACTACCTTCACTCGTCCCATCTACGCTGGCAATGCCATCTCCACAGTTCGTGCACCCTCTTCTATTCCAATCAAGTTCTTCACTGTCCGCTCCACTGCATTCGCGGCTGCTGCAGCAGAAGATTCAGCGGAGATTGAAGTCAAGGCCCTTGATCCTGTCGAGGTATCTGACCCACTAACAGAACACATCGGCACATCTCTGACGAAATCTGATCGACCTGACTTGGGTGTTGCTAGTCGCATTGTTTCTGGGGGACGGGCGTTGAAGAATGCCGAGACCTTCCAGTCCACCCTGTATCCTCTCGCGGACGCACTTGGTGCTGCGGTTGGGGCATCTCGTGCTGCGGTGGATGCAGGCTACGCAGATAACTCTCTGCAAGTCGGACAGACAGGCAAGGTCGTCGCTCCGGAGCTTTACATGGCATTGGGCATTTCCGGTGCTATCCAGCACCTTGCCGGCATGAAGGATTCCAAACTCATTGTGGCAATAAACAAGGTAAGCTCGTGCGTATAACGCTTCCAGTCCTTTGTAATTCGTCTTTAGGATCCCGATGCACCTATCTTCCAAGTGGCGGATGTGGGTTTAGTAGCAGACTTGTTTGAGGCAGTACCTGAGATGGTCGAGAAGCTGAAGCAATGATACAATGGGATCTTCACGTCCGGGACTTTCAGTGCTACTTCTGTCTTGTCTTAAGGAACAACATAAACTACTTACATAGATGAGATAGCGGAAATGTCAGCCATCATCATACTTATGATAGACTATGAAGTAGTATGGATATTGATTTTTTGATAAACACCTGTCTAACCAAAAAAAATAACCTCTCTGGCGGGGAGTCGAACCCCGCTCTCCCGCGGTCGTGTTTACATGACAGGCGGGTGTACTATCCGATATACTACCAGAGACTTGTTATGGGTCAAGCCCTGCAATATATTATACATCCGCTTCCTATTGGTACTGTAATGAGCATAAGTACTTAGGCTCCGTAGTTTATCGTGATCAGTGTAGCGTTTGTTTATGCATTGCTGATGGTGGATTGTAAGGGGGATCAAACGTTGAGATCAGAATGTGAAGACGCGAAGTGACGCGCTTGACTGTAAGTTAACAGGGGCCGACCCCCGTCACCAGTCACCGCATCTTGTACTATAACTTCCTTGGTTGCACAATCTTGCAGGTCATGGCATTCTATCACCCGACAACTGACTTCAGCACAAAGGGCAAAGTCCTCGTCGTTGTGCGTGTACCCCATGTTTGAACAAATGCAGGAATGCAGCAGCTAAGACAGACTCTCCAAGGCAGCCCGTTGTTTCTGTCGCGAACGTTGCCCAGCTCGCGGCCGATCTCCTCATCGCTTCACTGTCCCTCGATCGCGTGGGCATATTCGACCCTAGGAACTTAGTTCCTGTCGTTGGTGCTCGCGAAGATGGCCTTCCTGGTGTGACGACACCACTCGAGTGTATGTCTGCGTGCTTGTCTCGCCATGGCAGGCTTGGGCTAACCGCTTAAGATGCTAGTATTTGGCCGCGACAATGTTAACATCGCTGTCATACAGCAACGCTCTCCAGCATTAAAGGTACTGAAACCGACACTTGAACCTGATTTTACAATCCTGATCACGCATCACACCAGTCCTCGAAGCAAGATTTTGTTGACTCCCTGTTGGAATTCATCCGGACTTCAGGAGCTTCAGCTGTCCTCATAATTGGGGGCGTGGATATGTCTAACAGGACTGATCCTCAGATGCTGTTGAGTTGCCATGATTCGCATGTGATCCGCGCACTGACGTTCTTCCGATACCTCTAGGACACCCACATGTCAGATTATCCCATCCGGCACACCTGCTTTAACTTCTGGTCCATTGGCTGCCCTCACGGCCCTCCCAATACCTGTCTACACTTCGCCCGTTCCCCAGTTCCTGCACAGCGATGAAGAAAAGACAGTCATACCTTTCATACCTGGCGGAGGCCTATCTCGTCGGATTCTCTCGTCAATTCCCGACACATGGCAAATTCCGACTGCGTGTCTATTACAATATGTCATGGAGGGGGATAACAGAGAGGACGCCCAGCTCATGGCAGCTGTGGTATCCAAAGTGTTGCAAATAGAGGTTCCTCGCTGGAAGCAGCCTAGCAGTTGGAATCATGGTCTCTTTGGTACTCCGCATGATCAAACATTGTATGGTTGATCAGTGTATTCTACAGTCTGGTGCAAATGTGATAACAGAAATCAAACAATGATCCAAAATATATCCACACGCGCTTTTTGGTAGTAGTCTGAAGTCTTCATCATTTTTTTCCAGCAATGCCGATACGATCCCGGCCTTTTTTCTTGGAGGCTTGAGACAACGATAAATAAGCATACGGATCTACGCCGCCTTTCTTGAGGTCGCCACCAGCTTTCTGCATAGAGTATAAGAGTGTGCTATCGCGAACCCCAGAAGACTACACACCTTTGCCTTGAACTCGTGACCTAGTTTCGGCTCCGCCCGCTTCTTGTTCTTCTTTGTAGCACCAGTGGCAGCACCATCGGCCATCTCAACATCTCCATCTTCGTCCGCATTCTCTCGGCGCCTCTTTTTAGTATCTTTGTTGAACTTGATGCGCCCATTGGGTCCACGGGTAAAGCCATCCACTGAAGTCATACTCTCCTTATACGCACTGCCAGCAACATCCTTGGCAGCCTTGCGGGAGCTGACTTCAATGTCAGAGTCAGAGTCCTCATTGATAACCATTTTTCCGGTGTCAGTATCCGTTTTAAAGCGGCCTGCATCTTGACCCGGTTTGCGGCGTCGGTTGGCTTGGGCATCTGTACAGAGGTAAACGATGGAGATGGCAGATACATGATGAGAAACACCCACTGGTCAATCGCAGCGCAGCACCCTGCAAGAGGTCCATCGGCTCGTCATCATCCACGCGCAAACGCACGCCCTGTTCAACTCCCTTCCGTTTTGGTCCCGCCACAGATCGAGATGGTTCCTCCTCTTCGTCACTGTCGTCCAATTCGCTCTCGCTGCCATACAAAACGTCCTCAAAGGCATCGCCTGTGGGAACTTTCGCTTTTGTCGCCTGGGTCTTTTATGAGCGAAAGGATATGGTAGGTGCTCGAAAAAACCAACCTCCTCCTCGTCTTCGTCATCTTCTTCGCGAGCCTTCTTCCTTTTCGCTCTCTCCTTCCGTTTCTTGATGTTCACCAACACCTTCGCTGCCTGGTCCTCGCCCGCCGCTTGATACACATCATTCCACCCGAATCTTCTAATCATCCGCTCGAAGATGTGGCGAACCTTTGCCTTGAAGTGGTTCTTGTGATCGTGCGACCAGGCGAGGAGCGCAGGAACGAGTTCCTTCAAGTGTGGTCGTAGCATGTCAACAGGCAACGTATGAATCGCAAGCTTGATATACCCGAGCGTAGATTTGATAATCTCACGGTTGGCAGAAGAGAGGAAGACGAGAAGAGTCGTGAAGATCTCTGACTGCATTTGTGCATCCATGGATTCTGCCAGGAATCGTCAAGACAGTCGAAGTCGTGATTTCATCTTACATACCTTTGAACTCGAAAACGAGACGGGAGATGGCTGTTATGGTGGCACTAATCATGTGCGGTGTAGCTCCTGCCAAGCCTCCTGCAATCATGGTCATGTACTCGCCAATGCTTGCTTGCGCTGAAAAAGTATTTCGGTAACTGAGATTAGTAGTTCAACTGCATGGCTCACCTTCCGCGCCGTCCTCATCCATTCCGTCGACCATGCTCCTCTTCACTACACCACCTTGGCTCATCTTTTGACCCATAGCAACGATGAGCTCGAAAGCCGCTAACCGTGCCTTCTCTGATGGCTCCTTCGTGCCCAACACAGCTTCTGGAATGAGTGAAGGAATGACATGCAGAGACTCGCGAGGTACACGAGGTATGAGCTGAGAGAGCAACATGAATCTGTCTTTCTTCGCAGCAGGTGAAAGCCCATCAGAAAGCTCGTCCAGGCGTCGGAAAGTCTGGAGTGCATCCCCTTCTTCCTCTCCGTTCTCCATGAGCTTCGCTAGTATCTTGTAACCACGCTTTTGCACGCCGTTGTCTCTGTGGCACAGCACCTCCTGCGCGAGACAGGTCGAGAACAGAGTAGCAACGTCTTGCGCGTCAAGGAAGGGGATGAGGAGGATCAGAAGGTCTTGCGTCATCGCAGTTGTGTTCCCATTGTCTGATTGTTGGAGACTTTGGCGGAAAAGATCGAGGACCTTACGATAAGCTTTCGCAATGTCTTCTTTCTCCGCAAGTTCCGCCCAAACCCTGATGACGTCGCCCACCATGCCACGATTATCCCTATCTACGCTACCGAAGACGTTGAAGAAGACCGCGAACCAACTCTCTACTTGCGTCTTGAGGAAAATAAGGTTCTGAGAAGCTTGTTCCGGAGTGATTGCGTTGTCAGAGCTCGATGGCTCGCCCATGTCTGCGTCGACCTGCGATGCGATGCTTTTATTGGACTCCACCAAAGCTTTCAGGCCCCTGAGTACAGGTGGTCGAAGGTCGGGTTGGCCGTAAAGTAGCTGAGAAAGGAGTTGGGAGAATGCCGGCGTGAGGGCCTGAAATGATAGGTATCAATATAAAAGCCTTTGTACATAAGCGTTGCACGTACTATCTTGACGTCAGGAGGTGCATGACAATAGCCCGCAAATCCAGTCCATATCTGGGCGACAAGCACGCTCCACACTTTCGCCTCTGACTGCCTTCCTTCGCTATCGGCCTTTTGTTGCAGGTTGAACATCCGCTCGCTCATGGGCACGAAGTAGGAGACAAAATGTCCAAGATGTGACGGGTGGGGTTGATTGAGCATGGGCAGAAGAAATGCGCGAGGTTCTTTGCCTGCTTGACTAAATATACGTCTAGCTTCAGTCCTTTCCCTCATTTCAAAAGTGACTCACCGATCCGATGGCTCTAAGTTCAAAGGAATCGCCGCAAGGAGCACAGCAGGACCCACCACTCGCATAGCTGTCGAGAGGACGGCATCCGCAGCCTCTTTATGCTCAAAGGTTTTTTGAATCCGTAGATCGGCAACTTTCGACACTAGGGGCATGAGTAAAGCTTCTGCCGCAGTGGTGGACTCCTCAAGTTCTGCACGAATGTTCAAATTAGAGACTAGAGCTGAAATAACTGGAAGCAGCTCCTGCATTGCCGTTGCAAAAGTCAGCGAGTCCAGCGCTTTCGTAATTTGCGAGATGATGCCTTGCAGAGAGGATTTTCCAGCTTTACCACTGGTAAGAGAGGCTTGTTGCACCATAGAAGACGTGATACACCGTGTCAGTAAAGCCAGGGACTCTGCAACAGCTTTACGGGTTGGTGTGTGGTTCGTCTCGAAGTACGACCACACCGTTTTCCACACTTTGCTGAACTCAGCAGCGCAAGCTGATGGGTCGGTAACATGGTATGCAAACATGGCGTCTCCGAGGACGCGAATCCAAGATGGGGAGATAGAATTGTCGGATTTTGGTGGCGGGGCTTCCAGGACCGCATTTATAACTGCAGGAATTTGCTCTACTGCACTAGCAGTGCCGGCTGTGGTAGATGCAGTGAACAAATCAGACAGAATCGAATATGCAGCCTGGGAGAGGTATGGATTTCCTAATCGTGGAAGGGTCAAGAGTGTGGTGGTGATGGGTGGAATGGACTTTGCGTTTGTTTTGGTTAGTAGATCGAGAAGTCAAAGGTTATTAGACATACATCGAGGGGAAGCTTTGGAAGTACTGGGCGTAAGAATGCAAGAAGATGAATTGCTGTTTCTGCAGCTGACGTATCGGACCCTTTTCCAGATGATTTTGATTTGGGTAGGGCACCAGAGCTGGCTTGCTGAAGCGCAATATGAGCCCACTCAGAAACTCGTTTAGCATAAGGATGGCGAATTAATGGACTCGGAGGG